AGGGGCAGGGGCGGGGCTAGGGCGGGGCTCCTCCCGTCCTCTTTTTTTCTTGCTGAAATATGGTAACCCTACCCACCCACCCTATTTAGGTCAGAAAGAGGCTGGGTGATTAGCTACATCTGCTGTGGGCATTAGGCTAGCTGCCCTGCTGAGGGGGGCTGGGAAGGAATTTTTCCCTTACCACCATATTGGCCAGGTGCAGTTGGGTTTTTTTTTGCCTTCCTTGCAGCAGGTTCAGGTGGGCTCTGTTCATGCATAGCATGATGGGCCGTAGGCCACATGTTGCAACTCTTTATTTAAGTGTATAATGGATGTTCAGTGCAGGTACTCCATAAATTAAGGCACAAAAGAACAGATAAGTGGCTTGGAAAAGGAATTGAGGAGAGGTGCTTGGTAATTGAGGGAGCTGGGGGCAGTTAGGGACTCCTCTGCTTGGTACAGCAGGGAGCCAACCCCTGATGATTATAGTCTACCTTAAACCCTCCTACAAGGGGTGGGGGGTCGGTAAGGTCCTAGCAAGGGAATTACTGGAGGGACCTGGATAAAAAAGGTGGTGGGGGGGGGAAGCTGGTAAAGACACTTGCAATTGGAGGTTCCCGGCAGTGGATCTGCTGGAGTGACATGAATGGAAAGGTGGTGGGCTGGTAAAAGCACACGTGCTCTCTCTCTTTTATTTATTTATTTATATATATATATATATATATATATATATAATCTCCATCCGCCGTGTTAGTCCCAGACATCTTCTAATAAAGTTGCAGCCTGATTAAACCCCTATCTAATTGTCTCTTGTCATTCTTTTGGCATAGCCAGACAAATTATATGTATTGTGCTAGATTTTTGTCTCCTTTCCCCCTCCTCCTCCCCGAACATTTTTCTGTAGTAACTCAATTATTGAAGCACACATGTATCATCTTTCTTTGTGCCCAATCTTGTGAATACTATAGAGAAGAGTTCCAGAAAATACTATGTGGATGGTAAAACAAACTCTGGCATATTACCATGTGTTTTGTTTTTTAATTTAGTATTAGTTTAAGTCCATTACCACCTAAGAGTAATATAAGAAAACTAGTTTATTTTTGTTGCAGTCAGTTTAGGTTTTAGTACAGTCAAGGGACAATTTTTTTTTAAAGGCAAAATGTGGTTATTAAGCCACAAATGGCACGTGCACTCATTACTTATAATAGCTAAAACTTTTTTATTTATTTATTTTTAAAGCAAACTTATTTCAAGCTTCAGAGTGGTAGCCGTGTTAGTCTGTATCAGCAAAAACAACAAGGAGTACTTGTGGCACCTTAGAGACTAACCAGTTTATTTGGGCATAAGCTAATGCCAAATAAATTGGTTAGTCTCTAAGATGCCACAAGTACTCCTTCTTCTTTTTGGTAATTTCCAGCTGGTATTCATTTTTAAAATACTCAATGCATCTTAAGTAAACACTTCTATAAAAAGATAGCTGTTCTTCTAATTTTAGAAATCCCTTCACTTCATTTTACTGTATCTAGTATAGATACAAAAAGCTATTCCTTCTGGAATATCAAACTGTATTCTGTATTATAGAATAAACTATTAGGAACTAAGCCACTGTATGGCACATGCAAAGTCATCATGAAGAAAAATACTCTCAATTTCCTTTCATCATTAAACTTTAGACAGATTGCCTTACAGAAACAACTCTATTACAAAGCGCACATTCAGATGTGTGTGGTTCTCGTGTATATAATGAGAGAGTTTAGGGTTCAACAAGGCTAGGCTAGGAGGTATGTGAAGAGGCAGGTGGCCAAATTCATGGATGTCATAGGAGGGTCAGTCTTTTCACATCCAGGCATTGTATATGAGGCACCAGAATTATTCAGGGAGGATGGGATCCACCTGTCAGAGTTGGGAGCTGAGAAGTTTTTGGCTGATACTAAAGGGGGCATTAGGAGATGTCTGGGCACCTGGTTAACTGGGGGAGGGGTAGCCAAGCTAATTGCTGGTGCCTCTTTTGGCAGACGCCCACTGCAGGTATTCCATGGGGAAGGGCTACTGTATCAAATAAAATGCACTGGTAAAGGATTTAAAGGAGAAGAAATGGGAGGGGAGGGTTGGGACTCCTATGGCTGGTATAGCAGGGAGCCAACTCTCCCCCTTCTTTATAGTCTCCCTTAACCCTCATTTGAGGAGGGGGGAAGGTGAGGTCCCTGCTGTGGGGTGGCTGGGAACGAGGGTAGATAAGGGGGAGAGCTGATAGAAGCTCCTAGCTATATATTGAAATGATTATGGAATTATCTGCACTGTACACTTCTATCGGCCAGGTACTCCCAGACTTTTAAGAAGGAAGTTGTGACCTAACTAAACCATGCTGCGTGTCTCTTGTCCTCTTTCTGGCATAGTTGGACAATAAGCACTGCCATTCAGTTTTAGCTAGCTTATTCAATACATATGCTGTTTTTTTTATTGCTGGGTTGCTCACTAGCACACAAATTATTTATCTAAGTGATCAGACAGCTTTTTCGGCAAGGCAACACTGAAAGGGGAAGATATTTGGTCTAATTTTTTTTTTTAGTGTGAGGAAAAAATTGGTATGTCATTAAATATTTAATACATTTATTTATACCAAAAATACATACATTTTAAATTCTACAAAAAATTAATGTAAATAAAAACTTTCTATACTGCTGTTTTCCTACTACATAATCTTAAGAAATGTTCAAAGCAGAAGACCGTTCTAAACAGCAAATGCATTATATATTAGATTCAAGCATCTTCAAACAACCACATGGGGGGAGGAGGAAAGGGAACAAAACCACATAACCTGTCACATTTCATGTAGGAGCTAAGACCTTGGTTAAAAAAGATTTAGATGCAGTTAGTAAATTACAGTAGCAAATATAAAGTGCTGTGCCTGACATTTTTAAAGCTGAATGTTTTTGTATACATGTGTACCTTTTTTAAAATGGAGAAATAAAGTTTTCTTCTTGATTTATGGTTGGAATTAGACCAGTCTCCAACTCCTTCTGCTTCTGGAGGAGACCCTGAAATAATGGGTACAAAGTAAATGCTCTTCCTTCTGCACAAAATAGGCGCAGCGGCAAGCTTCTACTTTATTTCTTATTCATACGTTTAAGGCTCTTTAACCAGTTTAAAATATGTAATTATGAAAAAAAAAAAACTATAGTAAGTCAAGCACTCAAAGTAGGAAAAACGCCCCACTAAGATTGCACAGGGAACCAGGGCCGGCTCTAGGATTTTTACCGCCCAAAGCAAAAACAATTCTTTAATTACCCCACCCCCGGCCCCAACTCCGCCCCTTCCCCAAATCCCCAGCCCTGCCTCCTCCCCCCAGGCTCTCAAGCCTAGGAGGGAGGGAGGCTTGAGAGCCTGGGAGGGAGGACGAGTAGCGGCATGCGAATCAGCTGTTTCACGCGCCGTGGCAGCAGCAGCGGAGGTGAGCTAGGGCGGCCGGGGCACATTTTTAGGGGCGGCATTCTAGCAGCGGCCATGCCGCCCCTAAAAATGTGCCGCCCCCAAGCACCAGCTTGTTTTGCTGGTGCCTAGAGCCGGCCCTGCCAGGACCCCACGGGACTAGGTGCTGAACAAAAAGATGGTCCCTTACGTAAGCCTTTTGCTCCTGTGCAACCCCACCATAAGCCCTAACATAGAGATAGGCTGGCGGCAGGAACTGAAGTGGCAAAATTGTATGGGCTTGGCAATTCCAAGGTGCAGCGAGGCCCCTAGGTATGATGTTAGACTGTCATATATTTAGGTGTGGAAAGATTAGATTTTTATTGGTAAAATGTTGGTTTTGCCATACATACACAAACAGATGAAAAAATATTTCTATCAGTAGTAACTGACATTTACAGACAAAGTAAGAAAAATGCTGCTTAAGGACTTAGTTTGATTTAAGGATGTTTATTTTGCATGTTTTGACATATAATCTTGACAATTTGTGTGCTAAGTTAAAAAGCTTTAACTTTTTGACGCTCACTGTCTATCATTAATTGTAGTAGACCCCCCCCCCCAATATCCCACAACTGTGATTCAAAAAATGCTTAAAACCCACAAATTTGCACTACTGTGAAAATTTAAGTAGATTAGAAAGTATTAATAATAAACAGTGAGAGTGTTACAGTAGCCTCAAAGTTGCCAGAACTTACACTGGAGGCTGCACAGATCCTGGAATGTGCTCAGAAAGTGGAAAGGTGGCCTAAAGGCTCTTTTGCCCCTCACTAACTACACCAGGGCTGCACCTTGCATGCTGTGACCATTGAGACTTAGAACAATAGCTGGTCCCTCAGTTCTATTCTTATATCTGCCAGAAATGACCCTGTGCAACCTCTCAGTAAGAGGGAGAGAAAGATACTTGCAGTCTTCCTAAAATACATTTATGAGATCTTGCTCACAAATAGGGGCTAAGGTAGTCAGTCACTGGAAAGGAGGTGACTAGAACTCACTGGTTTTTTTTGTTTTGCTGCCTACCATACCTTTCCCTGATGACTAAGTTTGAGTGGCAGATCTTGCTACACCTGTGATGGAGAAAATGGAGCACTGCTCCATCATAGTTGAAAGAGGAGAGGAAGATATCTCTGCTTTTTGGGAGGAGGCTGTGGTCATCCTCCTTTTTACCCCCCCCCCCACTTTTTTTTAAATTTCTACCTTTCCTAGGCCAAGGAGTGGTGGCAGCTAAGGATACCACTGCTCCTGTATTCCTGTAGGTAGGAAAACATCCCTATTTCACCCCCCTACGCTAAACCTGAAATCACTGATCTCAACACCGCAAAGCACTAACACCGAACTTCTTTGCTAAGCTCACCTAAAACAAACTGCAGGAATCCTCAGCAACATGCTGGCTTCAGTCCCCATAATTGAACACCATTTTGCAAATATGGTGTAGCTAGAGGAATATTCAAAAGTGATGGATCTTTGGCAAGCATTTCCACGAGCTCAGAGAAACCCAGCCAAATGGAATTGGACAATGTAATGGATCCAGCTACATAGACAGTTTCTATTTACAATCTCCCACGTGTACATGCCAGCTAAGGTCTGGCGATTTTGGAATCCCAGCTAGCTCATTCAGAATTGGACAATAAAGACGACTGTCACCTTCGTCTTCCTCATATTTTGCAGGGGCATTGTGTGGGGAAAGGGGTATATCTGCTACCGGTGTACCAAATGTGCAGGGGCAGAAGCATGTCTTCCTAGAAGCACAGTAATTATTACAATATATTGTAACTGTTTATAGTTCTGCTGGAATGCTTGCAGACTTTCTCCCTCTAGCTGCTTTACCCAACGTATTTGTCGTGCTTCTATAGCTGTAATGCTTTGGTGAAAGAAGTGGCACTAGTCAAAACTGCAAATTAATTACTTCTGTCAATAAATTACTGGTAGAACCTGCTGATCTTTTGGTTAGACCACTGCTGCACCAAACAATATGACACTACATTAGGACATATTCTCATTAGGAAAATAATGCAAAGTAGGTCAGAGAGTTGAAGTTCCACTAGTAAGTGTTCCTGCTTTCATCAATTAATTTTTAATTGCAGAATGGGAGTGCAACCTGAAAAGAACCTGATACTGAATGAAATAAAGTGACACAAACACTGTTTGCAAAGGCCAGTTTTCTAGTATTGTAGTTTAGCAGTTCAAACTGATGTTTGTAGTTTAGCAGTTCAAACTGATGTTTAATGTTCAGAACGAAAGGCATTATTGTTATGCCTATGAATAGCTCCATACTTTCACTTACACCAAAAAAGTTCTGTGTGAAAGATATGCAAACTTGTAGGGTATTAAAATGTGAGCTATTTTAGGAGTTTTGTTATAGTATGCACTTTGCACTCCCACCCACCTATACCAGGTCATTTAGCAGAGGAAAACTATGAAGCATTTGTGCTGATCATCCAAGTCTACTACCTCAATTGGCCTGGCCATGCAGAAAGACTGGCCTGAAGTAGAGAGAGTGTTCTTACTGAGATGCATAAATACCCGCACCTCTTGGGCACTTGTTGTGCAAGTGTTTCCCATACCTGGTCTTGCTGCTTCCCTTTCCTGCTTGTCTCTGTTCAGATGAGTTCCCCTTTCCTCACAATTCCTTGGACTGCTCCTTAAAGAACCCCAAAATGTCTTTCTTTCTGTAGCCAGACAAGGACTCACTGCATCCAGCTGCAGTGAGCATATTTGCTTTGAACCACATTCTATTATCCACTAAATCACTCCTGTTTTACTAACTAGATGGATAGCAACATCATCTCAATAGTATCTTGACCCCATATAAAAAAGTATGTAGCCTTCAGAGGCATCAGTTGATGTTTTATGTGCAGTGTCCATACTCTTAAATATTTTAAACTTTTCACTAAAAAGAAACAGATCTCATTCAAATTGTTTTCACTAAATCTTGTGGAGCTATGTCATTACCATTAATTTACTAGAGGTAACGAAGCAAACATTATGTACCTTATACAAATGGGCACATGCTTTTCTTTTGAACAAATTCAGTTATATGACTTTGTTAAGTCACTTCTTATTTTTATAGATAGACTGGGAATCCAAAAACAGATTTCCATGTTGACAAAATAAAACCTAATTTAGGGAAGGTGTTTTATAACAATTCATACTTCAGATTAACAAAGTAAAATATTTTTCATAGTTGCTATATGATTGCCAGCCCTGTTAAGTCTTTTGCTGTGAGTGGATAGCTACACCTTGACAGGCTCAACCACCAGTTGTGGGAATGTCATCCCCTTAAGATAGGGTCCTGATGTGCTGTGAAAAAATTATTCCACTTTTATCCCAGAGTTGAATCACCCCCTTCCAACTTTCTTAGGTGCTCAACTGTCTCAAAGCTAGGAAAAGAAAGAAGCTAAAGATGAGAGTAATATAAGAAACACCAGGGCAAAAAAGTAGGATGAAAAACAGGGATAGAATCAAGACTAGGGCTAAAAGGATGGGAAATGATTATGAAAATACAAAACTTTAAAATGTTCAATTCAGATTTAGCTCATACTGTACCTGGCGTAATTCTGATAGTCCTTTGAGGATTGCCTGTTGTCGGTCTCTGTTTTTCACCACATTAGGATTAAGAAGTGGATCTCTCACATGATCAGAACTAAAAATCTGTCGTGGTGTATGGCAAGAATCTAAAGATAAGTATAAATCAAATTAATCATACTAAGTAATTGTTTCAATTTTACTTTAATTTCTTCCAAGTAATCTTTACATAGGCTTTGCAGAATTTTTTTTTTTAATAATTAACGGAAAATATCAATGTTTATTTTTAAGCATGTTTTTTCTATTTCTATAGATTTAACTTTTCACGGTTGCAAGAAATTATGGGGAGATCGGACAACTAGGGGTAGATGATAATTGTTAATGCCAGTGGACGCTGAGATTCAAAAAAGTTAAAGCTGCATAACCATTAAAACACAAATTGTCAATATTACATATCAAAATATACAAAGTAAATATCCTTAAAACAAACTAAGTCCTTAAGAAGCATTTTTTTTCTCTGCCTATCTTGTAAATTTTGGTTACCATTAGGGATGTCAAGTGATTAAAAAAATTAATCGCAATGTTAAACAATAACAGAATACCATTTATTTAAATATTTTTGGATGTTTTCTACATTTTCAAATATATTGATTTCAATTACAACACAGAATACAAAATGTACAGTGCTCACTTTATATTTATTTTTTATTACAAATATTTGCACTGTAAAAAACAAAAGAAATAGTATTTTCAATTCACCTGATATAAATACTGTAGTGCAATCTCTTTATCATGAAAGTTGAACTTACAAATGTAGAATTATGTACAAAAAAATAACTGCATTCCAAAATAAAACAATGTAAAACTTTAGAGCCTACAAGTCCACTCAGTCCTATTTCAGCCAATCGGCTCAGACAAACAAGTTTGGTTACATTTGCAGGACATAAAGCTGCCCGCTTCTTGTTTATAATGTCATCTGAAAGTGAGAACAGGCGTTCGCATGGCACTGTTGTAGCCGGCGTCGCAAGATATTTATGTGCCAGATGCACTAAAGATTCATATGTCCCTTCATGCTTCAATCACCATTCCAGAGGATATGCATCCATGCTGATGACGGGTTCTGCTCAATAACGATCCAAAGCAGAGTGGACCAATGCATATTCATTTTCATCATCTAAGTCAGATGCCACCAGCAGAAGGTTGATTTTCTGTTTTGGTGGTTCGGGTTCTGTAGTTTCCGCATCAGAGTGTTGCTCTGTTAAGAGTTCTGAAAGCATGCTCCAGACCTCATCCCTTTCAGATTTTGGACGGCACTTCATATTCTTAAACGTTGGGTCGAGTGATGTAGCTATTTTTAGAAATATCATATTGGTACCTTCTTTGCCTTCTGTCAAATCTGCAGTGACAGTGTTCGTAAATCAACAACATGTGCTGGGTCATCATCCGAAACTGCTATAACATGAAATATATGGCAGAATGCGGGCAAAACAGAGCAGGGGACATACAATTCTCCTCCAAGGAGTTCAGTCACAAATTTAATTGACACACTATTTTTTTAATGAACATCATCAGCATGGAATCATGGCTTCCGGAATGGTGGCTGAAGCATGACGGGGCATACGAATGTTTAGCTTTGTTAACTTTATTTTCTTTTAACACTATCCATTAGTGGCCTACCAAGTACAGGCTCTCTGTATAATACTGCGCCACAACTGATAAGGATCCTTTATAAGGATAAATGTCAGAGACTTCAGTGCACTATTTACATCAGGTATTCACACAACTCTTAAAACTAAATCACTATAACCCCTCCCTCCCCCATCTTAATATCGGTTTACAATATGTTTCAGTACCATTAAACTGTCGATATTGTGGATCATGTGTTGAAGGTCTAGTCATTGGTGCATCTGGATCAAGGTAATAAATTTCATTTGTTCGCACATAGGGAATAAAATGAGAAGAGGGTGGCCGTTCAGCTTCAATAACTGGAGAAGACGATTTCCTCTGTTGCATGTCTGTGTTGATATTTTTCTCTCTTCCGCTATTGCCATTCTGAATTGGGAAATTAGAAGTATTTATCTGCCTTTGTTGTACTTGGTATAATCTGTTTTTAACTGCTGGAACAGGTGGTGATTCAGATCTGTGCAAAACAATTTTAGTTAGACCAAAATTTTCAAGCAATATGCTTCATTTTATTAATACGCCTAAAAACTAATGAAATATTGTTTAATAGATCTTTAAACAAAATCTAAAATGATGTCTTCCCTCCCCTATGTGCTTTATTTGCACTACAAACATTTAGGCTTTTCACGCTTTTAGCGCAAAGTGGCCAGAAACTCAAGGAGCTTGCTAATTAGGAATTCCCAGATGACAAAGAATCAGCATAATGACTCTACGCTACTTCTCTTGACACTCCAGGATAGGCTGCATGGGTTGATGAAAGGGAGAACCTGCACAGTTCTGGTTATTCCCACCTGCCAAAATGGTCACTTGGGACCAAAGAGCAGTCTGAAGGCTTGGCCAGACCGGAGAATCAGGCCATGAATATTCTATTTCTATTAGCTTGCAGACAATTGTGGGCTCCTTTCCTAGACTGAGTGACATCCTACAGTTTTCCTTCTATAGTATTTGACACTTTTATTTTAAACATTTAACAGAAATACCTGTTTTCTAGAATTAGCCATTTGCTTGTCATTCTCTCTGTACCTGAAAACAAGCTCTGTGCAATTTATATAAGTAATTCATATTAATTAAATCTGTGCTAGTTCTTTTAAGGATAAAATGCATTCTAAACCCTTTTTTATGAAGGCAAATGCAAATAAATGTGCTAGGCAAAAAATATATACTGCATAACGTCATGTTCCCTGCCCAAGCGACAGAAAGGAAAAGAGTAGATCCTGTTCTTAAATAACTAAACTTGCCCTCATTTTGGGACAGATTCTGCTGTCTAATATATGCGTTTAGCTCACAATGAAGCACATCAAAAGGCTATTTTGATCTGATCCAATATCTTCTCCTTACACAGAGAGGTTGCAAGAATGGGCCCTTCAATAAGGATTCATTTGGCACTTGGGTGCTTAAAGCAGTCTATGAGGGAAGTTAGTCAGCGACAACAGGAGCAGAGTTTACAAAAATGTGTACTTCCTGTATTGCCAATCCCAACCGTTCAAAAATTGTGAGTAAGGCCCCCCCCCCCAAATTACAATTAACTTAAAAATCATCCAGTATTTTAGTAATAAATGTTAAATTAATTTAATTTGCCTTGTAGCACTGAAAACCAGTCAAGTTCATGTTTAAAGCTTTTCTCCACAACCATGAGGGAATTATTTGTGTATTTTTCTCTCATTACAAGTACAGTATCTTTGACATCTGACATTCCAGTTATGAAGGGGTTAAGGGAGATCAGAACACTCCAAATCTAAAGCAAATCCAAAGAACCTTTGAAAGACTCCACATTTGATCAGCTGCCATACTTTTATACTTAAATGTCCAGCATAGTTTACCCAAGTATAGTACTCTCTGAAATGTTTTTTACTTAAGATATATATAAACTTTTATTTAAAAATGGTATATTTTTAGTAAAAAGTAAAAATGGCACTAAAACATATCTAATTTCTCATTCTTAATTTCCATGTAATAACTGATTCAGAATGCAGACCTACCTTTCTTCATTCAAATGACTCTTCTGAGATTGTTCCTCCTAGAATAAGATCAAAAGAAGTAAAAAAAAATCCTAATTTTTTATAATATATATTTTATTTTATAATGGTTTTTTTCCTTCTAAAGTTCCTAAAGTAGGGAAATATACTTATCTAAGCCTTTAATCAAAGCAGACCAAATTCATTGCTGATGTAATTCTCTGAAGACAACTTACACCTCCATGAAGTTAAATGTGCAGAGTAAGTTTGGGATTTCCAGAGCTGATGCAAAAGGTAAGAACACCAGGGACATTAAGGTCTGTAATGCTAGTAATGATTGGAGGCTGGGTATGTACAGGTTGTTTGTGACTCAAGGGGGCACCCTTGAGATCATGACACTCCTTGACCAAGTTTTGCCATTAGAGGGAACCTCACTAACTCAGAGAAGGACATGTTCTGGACACTAGAGCAGTGGTGGGCAGCCTGCGGCCCATCAGGGTAATCTGATTGCTGGCCGCGAGACATTTTGCTGACATTGTCCATCCGCAGGCACAGCTACCCCCTGCCCCCGCAGCTCCCAGTGGCCACGGTTTGCCGTTCCTGGCCAATGGGATCTGCGGAAAGGAGCGGGCCGCAGGGACGTGCTGGCCGCCACTTCCCACAGCTCCCATTGGCCAGGAACGGCAAACCGTGGCCACTGGGAGCTGCAGGGAGCCGTACCAGCAGACGGTCAACATCAGCAAAATGTTTCAAGGCTCATAATCAGATTAGTTGCCCACCACTGCACTAGAGGTACCACTAACTGCTACTCCTAGAGAAATTAAGGGTTAAAATTTCAAGCCTCAGAATCAGTTTGTCTAGTGGGGTGTCCATAGGAGTGGTACCCTGGAAGAGTGATTAGGCAAGAATTCCTTCCTCGACTCTTGTGAAGCCAAGGAAGCAGCTGAGATCTCTGCTAACGCTGTTGCATCAAAGCAGTGAGACATAACACCTAATCACCAATTCAGAAAAAGGGCTGGATCCTATCAGGGAAACACAAAATTGAAATCTCTAAGGGACGAAAGGGGTGTGAGAGTGAAAAATTCTCCATGGTATAAAGTAGGATTATGGAAATACACACACACATTATATTATATATATAAAAATATAGGTGGAAAAGTACCTACAGGTGGTTAGAACAATCAGAACCACCAGGATATAGGACCTGATGCAGTACATTTTATGGCTGGATCCATACTACCCAAAGCTTCAGGCTGAGCACTATTATTAAATGTAGGTCCCTTTTTCCAGACAACAGGGAAAACAGTTTTTTCTTATAAATGAAAAATATTAATTTATATATGGTTTATTAGACTTTTGAACAAGCAATTTATACCCTACTTTAATTTATCTTGTATTTTCACTTAAAGGCCAACTTTCCTGAAAACCAACTGCAGAACTCAGTTGTAATAACTGCCATCGTCGTTGACTAACGGAAGTGAAAAACTGTCTTCAATATTGCAATTCTATCTTCCACATTCATTTAAGACACATACATGAATACCTATGGAATTTCACAGATTACTTATTGTGCCTACAGTCTTTGAAGTAGTGCATTTGTAGCATTCATTTCAGCCAAACAAATAAATGGCTTCTTGGCTGGCTATACAGAATTACAGAGGTCACTTTATCTCACAGACACATTTTTCACTGGAAGGTAGACCTGGTGTGAAGGAAGGAATGAGGCACAATGTCAATGCTGGGAGGTGAGCAGTATCAGCAGTATTTTCTTTAAAGTATGGGAAGATAGGATTTTTTTTCAGCCATGGGCTGCTGATTATGTGTGTTTAGTGGAATGGGAGAAGGAAGAAAAGGTGCAATTATGAAGTATGTACTTTGCTGTCACAAATTCTCTCACAAGTCAACAATGGCTTTTTTGGTTGTTTGTGAAAATTAACATTGTTCTCCTGTATGTTTTCCTGCCTTTGATGGACACAGAGGGTCAAGTCAGTTTCATAATTTCAATCTCCAAGGGTACATCTACACTACCCACTGGATCGGCGGGTAGCAATCGATCTATCGGGGATCAATTTATCGTGTGTGGTGTAGATGCGATAAATCGATCCCCGATCGCTCTCCCATCAACTGCTGAACTCCAGCTCAGCGAGAGGCGGAAGCAAAGTCGACAGGGGAGCCGCAAGGACGCAAAGTAAGTAATTCTACGTTGATCTAAGATACGTCGATTTCAGCTACACTATTTTCGTGTAGTCCAGGCCCAAGAGTACAATGATACACAGACTTGTATCTTGCTGCCAATCAGATTCCCTCTTTACACAAAGAATAAGTGACAACTAAATAACAGGGAATAAATACACAGAGGAGGGTTATGGTGACATCAAAATCCAGGTGAGTGAAATCTGAACGTATTATGTCACTAGAATACCCACATTACTGAACTAAGTGCTGGAGTTGCACCAATGATCTAGCCCAGACACAAATGAGATATTAAGTGAGCCAAGGTTATGATGAAAATTTTTTGCTGTTCAACACCAAATCATTACCTTTGTGACTGCATGTCCCTTACTCTTTGTATTAGTTTCCTGGTGAGGTGAAGGAGACCTTTCTGGAGAGATTTCTTTCTTTTGGCAGAGTTTGCCAGGAGTATTTCTTTCTACCAATTGAAGCAGCTCTATCTGTCGTCTTACTTTCTTTTCCTCCCTTTGCTTTTGTAGCCGTCTAGGGTATCTTTCTGATGCTGGAATATACCTTTTCCCAGGTTTGTTTATGTTCCAGTCGGGTCTCTTTCCATATTTTTCCATAGGTTTTGTTTGTTTCTCTTTTCTTGCAAATTGGTTATATAAATCACTGTAACTGCCGTTATTCTCTTTTTCTGAAATTTTAGTTTTATCTGGATACTGCATTTCTTTCTTGCATTTTTTGATGTTAAATTTCTCTTTATATTCTATGGAAATATCTGGAGATGTACAGTCCACAGTTCTTCTTTCTACAACTGGCTCAGTACATGTTTCAGTTCTGATGTATGCTCTGGTGTCAAAGTCATCTAAAAACAAAAGTATCTCTTTTAAATTTTTCTAAGCAGGCCACGTGACTTCTTTGATTTATATTTCAGTATTTAGTCTATAAATGCATTACTACTCACTTCATTCAAAACATTGGTTGCTACAATATTGGCATACTCTTTTATTCCTTCTGATGTTTCAGAGTAAACAGCACAGGGGAGAACCAACATAGTGATCAGATAAACTCAGTCCATGTTTAAAAACATGGGGAACAAAATGTAAGAAAACTTAAAATATAAATGAAATGAAACTACATTGTCTTGATATATAGAGTTCATCTTGTATTGTGATAGCCCAATGATGAACAACAACATGAAGCTTTTATATAAATATCTAAGGTGCATCTTGTTCATAGTTTGTTAGATCATATTCACCATTTTAAGTGCTACTGAGTGTAACAGGCATTCTCAATCTGGTTTTTTTTTCTCTTCTCTGACAGGGGTTCTGAGTTAGGAGCTGACTCAGTAACCTGTCACTTGGATCCCCACCAATATAGGTTAATTAGGATCTAAGTGGAAGACCAATTAACAAATAGGGTCACAGCTGAAGGGCTAATTAGAGGGAAAAGCTATCCTAGCAGCTGGGAGCAGATACATAGAGAGGAAGGAAACCCTGGAAAGGGTGTAGATGCAGAACTTGAAGGAAGACAGACCTGGTTGTTCTTAGTACTGCTTCCTTTTTCCTTAGTAAGAGGAGAGCTGACTAGGACTTGTACATATGTAAATAGTACTATAGGTAGTGGCCTGATAGAACACTATAATAAAGAACAGTGGTGGGGAAGTTGGCTGGAGTGTGTGGGTCTGTACCTAAGGTAAGAGAGACTCCCAGGGGACCACCCTGCAACATACTTGGGGGCTTCTCCAGGACCCGTGTCCCTCATCTGTGCAGGAAGCCAAAGAGGGAGCCAGCGCCAGGGTCAATAGTCTGGGAAATGGAAGAAATCCTGAAATGGATTATGGAATAGTAAAAGGAGCTGCAGTAGTCCATACAGTTTTTTCAACAGTCCTACCAACCAGAGCAGCAGGCCCAGATAGTGTGGCAGGCAGACCAACAGAATGTTCTCCAGGACTTTATCAAGGAACAGATGGCCATACAACATGGGATACTGCAGAATCTGGTGAGTCCCGTGGTCGGGGTTAACAATAGAGCCCAGGGAACTGGACATTGTAAAGTGGCTCCAAAAAATGACCTTGAGGCCTTTCACCAAACTTTTGAGAGAGTGGCTTTAAGTTCTGGTTGGGATAAGACATCATGGGCTTTGCAAGTGGCTCCTTATCTGATGGGCAAAGCCCAAGCAACCCTAAGTGAAGAACATGCCATCGCAGATAGGATGGTTCTGTTGTCAGAAAGGTCCCAACAGAAATTTAGGATGGTGAAAAGCACAGAGGCTGTCAAGACTGGGCTACTAGCTGGTTGTTACCCCCAGAGAGCCAGGGGGTGGAGGAAGTGATGGATGTCTGATCGTAGAATAGTTCTTGCAAGGTCTTCCTGTGGTGGGGAGTATATGGGTGAACAGGCATCAATCCTCAACATTGGACAGTGTGGGGAAGCTGACTGAAAAATTCGTAGAGGCTGACCTACCCAGAAAGACAGTTCATCTCTTGCTGGGACAGGAGATGAGAAAGAAGTTGGTAGATGCTCAGCCAGGAAAAGGGACTGAGAAAAGGAGAGAGAAGTCCAAAGGGCCCTCATACTCTGCCAGAAGAGGGATGGTGTGTTACCAAATATTGGTGGCCAGGACCCATAGAGAGTGTTCGTGTATGGACTGCAAGTTGGTGCTTTTGTTCTGAGAGACTTGATGTAACTCCAGTAGATGTTACCAGGGAGGGCAGTAAGGTTAGAATGTATACATGGGGAAAGGAGACATTCCTCTTGGAGGTCAAGAGAGTGTTTATATGGAAGGTGGGAGTGGTGGAGGCTTTACCCCATACAGTTGTGTTGGGTCTGAACTGGAAACCCTTCCTAGTGAGAGAGAGGAAATTCCAAGGAGATCACAGGGTCAGTTATGGAATGTGGAAAAGGAGCTAGAAGAAAGGGGCTGTCAGAAATAAAAAAAAACCCAGGCAGGGAGAGAAAAGTCAGGAAGGTCAACAAGAGAGAAGAGAGTCTGGTAGAGGAGGAAGGAAAACAGAGGTATAACGGGCTGATGACTGAGACCCATAGGGATATAGCTGATAAAACAAGGGTTTCCTGGGAAGTCCCAGGAATGGACCGGAGCAAGAATGAGATGTCAGGGACAGAACAAAGTGTCATGGAGAGTGAAGAGAGCCTAGAATTAGAGGTAGAGTAGCAACAAATTAGAGGGAAGGTCAGATTGTCTTCAGGCCAAGAGCATTCTACTGACCGGCAGAGACTGAATTGTGGGGACAATCCCCACCCACAGTTGGTTTTTTTTTGGGTGGGTGGGTGGAAAACAGAAGACAGCCATTGAGGAGCTGTGAATAAACCCAAAGATGAGGTCCCACAAAAATCAGAGGATGGTGATAAAGGCAGAGCTCAGCCCAAAAGAAAAGAGAGCATTTGGAAGAAGATGGTGAGGTGTGTGACAGGTTCTGAGTCAGGAGCTGACTCAGTAACCTGTCACTCAAATCCCCACCAATATAGGTCAATATAGGGATCTAAGTGGAAGACCCAGTAACAAGTAGAGCCAGAGCTGAAGGGCTAATCAGAGGAGAGACACAACCCTAGCAGCTGGGAGGAGATAAATCGAGAGGAAGGAAACCCTGGAAAGAGGGGAGGGGAATGCAGAACCTAAAGAAAGGCACAGCTGATCTCTTTTTCCCCAGAAGTACGAGGGGAGCATATATAGATTCATAGATTCTAGGACTGGAAGGGACCTCGAGAGGTCATCGAGTCCAGTCCCCTGCCCGCATCACACGGCAAGAT